TAATCATATCTGGAACAGTTATGCAGACGGGATACGTGGCGAAAAAGGCGGCGCGGAGATCGAGGCGTCCATGCCCCGTCCCATCCGAACGCCGCGGTCCGCCCTGCTTCGCGCGCGCCCCAAATTTCGCATCCCGCGGAATCCGCGAGCAACAAATCAGTCTGTCAGGCGCGGTGTTTTCGGCGATCCGTCGCTCGGAGATCATCGAAACCTGAAAGATCACTCGACGCAAAAACAGAATGGATCAAGTCGACTGAAGGCAAGTTGTTTCCTGTCGACAAAGGGATTCTTTGGTCCAGAACAGCGCACAACCGGAGCGCAAAGGTTAATCAGAAACGACATCAACTCCTTCTTCACTCGAAGCCTCAATCCCTTTGGGGGCTAATGATGGGGTTATGTACCTAGGGTAGGGTCATGGACCTGATCCAAGTAACTTACCCTAGGACATCCTGAGAAGAGGTCGCCTTCCAGTCGACCAATGAGGATTCACTCGACTGGCCTGAAGGACTCGACCACGAAGACTCACTCGACCACCAGGAGGTCAAGAGGCACTCTGCACTGCAACGGCCTGTAATCAAGTAGACTTTATGATAGTAAAGGCCTTTATGTGGGGCGTTACCAGTAACGCCCCAGACTTAACTCACCTTAAACCCTCTCCTACGTGGGCTGGCTGGGGTCCTGGCGCACTCTATATAAGCCACCCCCCTCCACAGGCAGAGGGGTTCGGCACCTTGTAGTTCATACACTCATAATCCACTCGACCGCCTCCGGGCTCAGAGACGTAGGGCTGTTACTTCTTCCGAGAAGGGCCTGAACTCGTACATCCTTTGTGCTTACAACTTCTCCATAGCTAGGACCTTGCCTCTCCATACCTACCCCCCACTCTACTGTCAGGCTTAGAACCACGACAGGGGGCAGTGCCACCGCTCTGTTCGTGTTCACAGATTGCTGAACTGGTGCACGAGGCCGGTCAGGAGGATCGCATGCTTTGGGCTTAGGCTCTTTGATCGCCCAAGGGTTCCTTACACAAACGCATGTCTTCCCATCGTAACCCTTGCCGAATTCCCGTCGTCGTGTGAACTTGGAGCAGCACATGGTTTCTTTACCAATCTGATCTCCAACGGGGCCGACGAGGACACGAGGTTCCCGTGGTGTGAGGGCGGACGAGGCCGCAACAGGGCCATAGCCCGCCAGTGCGGCGCGCATGGCAACATCGCCAGCCACCATGGGATCTAGGTCCGGCGACGGAAGGGCGGGGCCTGGGCCGGGGGTGGCGGCCACGGCAGGGCGGGGCCAAGGGCGGCGGCCGCAGCGAGGCGGGGCCATGGCCGGCGGCAGCGACCGCGGCGGGGCAGGGCCGAGGGTGGCGGCGGCTGCGCACCCTGTCAGATGATATATACTCTTAACATTGTTGGACTACAAGTTCACTTTCGTCGTAGAAGTTTGGGTGGTGGCCTCCTTGTAAAAGCTGAAACAATGCTAAAGACCTGCTTACCCGGGATTTGCATCTGAAGACCACAAAGTAGGCCTCCAAGAAAGGAGGTTGAGACAGATGTCTTCTTCTCCATGCACAGGGATTTAGGGGCTGTTTTGTTCTTGTCCTGGAGCAAACTTGCCTGGCCTGAAGCTTGCCTAAGTTCTGCCTATACTTTGTTTGGTTGGTGCCTGGATAAGTTGAAGCTAGCCTGGCCTAAGAATCTCAATGCGTCATTAGCCTGTCTAGAAAGTAGGAGAGAGTCACTAGCCTGGTCTAGGCAACCGAGAAAGGATGCCTGGGTGTTGCCTGGGAGTACTAATCATGCATGTGAGAAGGAAAAGACAGCTAAATACACTGATGTGACATGCATTATTCACCATCAGGCATGGTCACAAGCCAAACAAGGCTTGGCACAAAGCTGCACTTCCGCAGGCGTGAGCCAGGCGCTCAAATTTGCCAGGCACGATGTCCAGGACATCAACCAAACAAGCCTTAGCCAGAGACTCTCCTCTAACATGTACTTACTCATAAATAGGAGCACACCAATATGTCTCAGGCATGTGGACGTGCAGTGAAGGCTGAAGCTACCAAAGGATCTCTTGTGGCCAATATGAGATATTACTAAAGAACATAGGCACAGAGGATCCAACTAGAAAAAGTCGAATACTTTGACAGGGACATATCTCCCAGCTAGGAATCCGATGCATGTCAGGAGGAGTAGGCCCAAATGGATTCCAGTTAAGAACGTTGTTTTACTAATGAGCAAAGCGATTGCACGTACCTCGGTGCCACTGAATACTTTATGAACGGCACCTGATATAGGGTACTCCCTCCATTTTTTAGTCTGCATATAAAATTTGGTTAAAGTCAAATATTGTTAACTTTGACTAAGTTTATAGAAAAAAACATTGAGATTCACAATATGAAAATGCATCATGAAATTAATTTCATACCATATATCTTTAATGTTTTAGATGTTGATATTTTTTTATAAAGTTGATCAAACTTTACAAAATTTAACTTTGATCAAATCTTATATGCAGACTAAAAAGAAATAGAGTGAGTACCAGACAGCTCGCGCTACTACAGAAAAGTGCACTCGGGTAATAGGGAGAGAGAGAGAAAAGTCTGAGTGGTCGAGGAGATAATGGAGGAGCGAGGCAGAGATATTTGTTTCCTTCCGCCCAAATGGACACATGCTGCAGCCTCGCATGGACGCGTGGTCGACTTTTGAGAGATAGCCTTCATGGCGCACTTTATTGCGAATTAAATAACGATACATCATTCATTATATCTGAAATAATAAAATCAGGGGGATCATCGTCCCAAAAAATAGTAGAATCTGTAACAAAAGCATATCCTGCTAAATTGTGCGCCACATAATTTGCTTCCCGGTTGCAATGATGCATCGATATTGATCCAATCCTGGAGGCAATTTGAAAACAATCTGCTAGTACTGCTGCATACGGAGACCAAACTTGGATTGTACCATTAAAAGATTCAACGAGTTCCAATGAATCTGATTCTACAGTAACAGGCACACACTGAAGACCCTCGATTAGAGCTAATCCTCTCTGAAGAGCTGTTGCTTCTGCCATCGCTGCATTAAACATATTATATAAAGGCCAACAAGCACCAGCAATTGCCTCACCTCTGTCATTCCTCAAAACAGCACCTGCACCATCAGTACCATTTTCTGAAAACGCAGCGTCGACATTCAGTTTGTAGCTGTTCCTTTCTGGCTTTAATCGCGTGGTCAGCATGCGTCCGGCGCAAATGTTGAGCCGGTCCGTTGTCTGCGCTCGAGACCATCCGAATTATTCCCATACCCGCGTCGACCGGTCGTTGAATGTGAACCTCATATGACTCGTATCACCCTACTACGAGTCGAGCCATGGCGGAGCTGCTCGCCATATCCCTCTCGGCCAAGGTCGTCGTGGCGCTGCTCCGCACGGGCCGCAGCACTGCCATCTTCCTCGCCTCCTTGGTCTCCATCCGCTCCGGTATAGCCGCCGCGCGCGCGACCTCGATCTCCTCCGTGCCTTCCTCCGCTTCGCCGACTCCCACCGCGGCACCAACGAGCTCGTCGACGCATGGGTCAACCAGGTTCGCCACGTCGGCTTCGAGCTCGAGGACGTCACCGACAAGTATACCTTTCTCTCGGGCGTCGGCTTCGTCCGTGCCTGCGCTGACGTAGCGGCCCGGTTCGCCCTCCTGAGGTGCCTACGGAAGGCAAGGGAGAGGCTCCGCGCCCTGTCCGCCGTGAAGAAGCAGCTTGGCAGCCGGCCGGCCGAGGCATCCGCGTCAAGCTCAGCCCCTGCAGCGGCCGCTATCTGCCGGAACATATCGGAGGCGGCGAACTTCGTGGAGGAAGGGAAAATCGTCGGTTTTGCAGAGCACACAAGGTTACTGATGAAATGGCTAACCAGGGTTGCCGACCCGCGGCGGATAATAGTTGCGGTCTGTGGGGTGGGCGGTGTTGGCAAGACTACTGTTGCCACTAACGTGTACAATAAAATCGCTGCAAACTGCAATTTCGATTGCACCGCATGGGTTACCATCTCCAAGAACTTCACGACGGAGGACCTCATGAGGAGAATCATCAAGGAACTTCATCGGGGTGTCCGAGACAATGCGCTGGGGGACACACAGGAGATGGACTACTGGTCACTAGTCGAGGCTCTTCGTGGGCATCTGGCTCACAAAAGGTACTTCCTCTTGCTGGATGATGTCTGGAATGCGGATGCCTGGTTTCAGCTCCGCGGTGCATTGCTTGACAGTGAAACCGGGAGCCGAGTAGTCATCACCACACGCAATCAAGAAGTGGCTGCTCTGGCATCAGACAACAGGACCATCATGTTGCAGCCGCTCCGTGAACATGAAGCATGGTCTCTATTTTGCAGCACCACATTCAGGGAAGATGCGAACCAGGAGTGCGCATATCACCTGCAGAATTGGGCTCTCAAGATACTGCAAAAATGTTGTGGGCTGCCATTGGCGATTATATCGGTTGGAAACCTCCTTCTGTTGAAGGAGAAAATAGAATTTGCTTGGAAGAACGTGCATGATTGCCTTGTGTGGGATGAAAAAGATGACCATGGAATTGGGCAAGTAGCGAGCGTACTGAATTTCAGTATTGATGACTTACCATACTGCCTGAAGAGATGTTTCCTCTACTGCAGTGTATACCCTGAGGATTTCTTTATCAAAAGGAAGATTCTTATCAGAGAGTGGATAGCGCAAGGTTTGATAGTGGAAACAGGGCATGGCACGATGGAGGAGGTCGCAGATGGTTACGTGAACGAGCTAGTGCAACCGAACTTGTTGCTTGTCAAGTTGAAAAATGAGTTTTGGCGTGCAAAGCGGTTACACATTCACGACCTGATCGGGGAGATTGCTGCATATAGATCAAAAGAAGATGGATTCTTTTAGTTATCTACGAGTGCAAGGGTTGACTTAAAACAGAAAATTTTGTTATCGTACACTTTACCAGTGCCAAAGTGACCATCAGTCAACTCCAAATATGCCCTCACTTCGCTCCTTCTATGTGCTTAGATCAGACCTGGATGTTGCACTATTTTCTCGTTTTAGATTGTTAACTGCGCTAAATCTTTGGTACGTTCAGGCATGTAAACTGCCTAGTGCAGTGGCTAATCTTCGTAATCTGCAGTACCTTGGCATACGCTCCACCTACATTGAAGAACTACCGAAAGAACTGGGGAGACTACGTGATTTGCAAACTTTAGATGCCAAATGGTCCAGTATCAAGGTATTACCAAGTAGCATAACCAAACTGAAGAACCTCCGGCACCTGATATTATTTACACGTGGAACCACAGATTTTATGGAACCTGAACCTGGTACAGCAGTTTCTCTTCCAGATGGTCTTGAAAATCTCAAATGCCTGCAGACTCTTAAATATGTTCAAGCTGATCAGAAGGTGGTCAAATCCTTAGAAAGCTTGGAACAGATGAGGAGCTTAGAGCTATCTGGAGTAGACCAGAGAATTCTTATCGATTTGCCCTTAGCACTATCCAAAATGAGCTGCCTTCTGCGCTTGGGAATAATCAATTCCGATGCTAATGTAACATGGGACTTGGAGCCATTTTCTCCAGCACCAGTGAAGCTAAAAACCCTCAACTTAACTGGAAAGTTGGCAAGGGATAAGTTACCATCGTGGTTTGGTTCTCTTACCAACCTCATACATTTGCATTTGCATTCATCTGAACTTGGAGAAGATTCAATTGCGCTACTCTCGTCACTTCCCAGTCTGTTGCACCTTAGTCTCATCAATGCATGCAACGAGAGAAGCTTGACCTTTCCGGCAGGTTGTTTTCCAGTCCTTAGACAACTAAACCTACAGGGATTGCCTAACCTTACCAGCATAGAATTTCAAAAGGACAGCCTTGCAGATTTACGTCTGCTGACGCTTGGTCTATGTCTTGAACTCACCGAGATACCCCGAAGCATCGAGAACCTCATACATCTGGAAAATGTGGAGTTGTTTCAGATGCCAAGTAAGTTCATAGAGAAGATACCATATGGGAAAGGTCACGGGGTAAATCATCAAGATGGTCAGCGTATTACAGTTGTAAAGAACTTCTGGCATAATGCACGATTGTTGGAGCAAAAAATTTATATCAACCTATCAAATGTTCAAGAGTCTTTCAAGACGGATGCAGTCACATTACCAGTGGGGTCACTCAACTCGTCAAAGTTTCACAAATGGCTTTAGGGCATATCTGCCCAATGCTTAAGGCGCCATGGTGGTGATTCACTCTAACTAAATATCCTAGAAATGGTCTAAGGCCTACTTTGACTTCAATATGGGGCCCACAGCTTCGAAAAGATGGGGCTGCTTGGGAGCAACAGCAAAACTCTGCATTTTACTACCTAGTGCAGCATTGGGTACGTTCTGAATGTGTATTTTTGCTATTATTGCTCTGATGAAGTATCAATCCAAGGATGGATCCATGGCACCTTGCCGATGAAAATTTTATGTTTCTTTTTAAGTGCTTGTCTATCGGAGTTCTGATTATACGCGTGCAAAACGATCAAAGTTGTCGGAGAAGTTTAGCTGGTACAATTTTCCTCCGCTAAATTGGCATCTCCATGCATCTGGAACAGGTCACAGCCACGACATGAATATTTGCCAAATCATGACTTGTGACTGATGGATTCTTGGCAGGAGAGAAAGGATCTGATGCAGAGACAATGATCTGCTGGGGGTACTGACGACCGACTTCCATGCCGGCTTGCATCAAGTGGTTGCAGGTGAAGAACTCACGTTGTGTATGCGACACAGCTGTTCATGTCTCACGACGGTGACCCATGGTGAGTAGCTAAGACTGCCAGGACGTTTCACACCTCCTCTAGATGGGAGATCTAATGTCGGAAATCATGGAGATGGATCACACATGATGGTGAAGTTGCTTAGGTTAGGCAATACGTAGAAATGCTTCAAGTGAGATGAAGATTTGTTTCCCCGCAAAAAAAAGATGAAGATTTTTTTTGTTTAAAAGAAAAAGAGGTGAACATAAACAAAGAAGCACCTCACGAATGCATCAACTTATACATATCTCTTTTTTGTTTGTGTATTTCATCTATATAGGGTTTTGTATTCTTAGTTCACCCAATTGTGTATTTCATCTATATAGTATTTTTTTTTTGCTCATGGTATACTTATTCATGTAAATTTTCAGTGTAGTGATTCTTGGTTGATATAATTCTTTTGTTATGGAATTTTCCAGTTTTGTAATGTGTACAAAAGCATGTTGTAGTTCTTATAGGTTGTATCCAGCATATAAATTAGTTTCATGGTGCTAATCTACTAGGGGGTTTTAGCACGCACAAACGCTTCATAAGTGTGGCGTTTGTTGTGTATTCCTGATCAAACGCTTCGTAAATTTGGTGTAGTTTATTAGATTTTTTTTAGTACACAGTTTCAGCTGTCCCTGGGGGTGCCTTCTAGGGTTTTTTGTTGTGTTTTTTGTAGTGAGCAGGCTCATTAACTTTTCCAGGGGTTTCTAGACGTTTCATCTTTTTCTGTGTGTTAGCACATATGGTTCCCAAATTCATTTTCCATTTTTCACATGTAGGCCTTTTCAGTTTCAGATTTGGTATTGTTTTCATTCCAAGTTAGTTGTGGGGAAATTTTATCCCTGTGCGTTGCGGATATATAGTTGTAGCAGATTTGTATTGGCCACATTGGTTGCTGAGTGTTTTAGTATTGTACTTCTTATTCTCTTTTTGTTAGGTAGTTGTTTTGTTGGCAGTATACTGTGATGTTCTTTTGTTTTTGTCATCTGATGTTGGTACTCATTATTCTGTCAACGAGTAGGATGAGTTTTGATGCTAATATTCCGCAACCTGTTTGTGTTTTTTGGTGCCAGTGTTGCGTGCAGTAGACATTTTTAAGCGCATGATCATGTTCATCAGTTTTTGCAAACTGAAGTTATTATACTTTTCTTATGCGTAATCCATTTATTTCCTAGCTTTTACTAGCATGGGTAGTGTAAAGTTTTTTTGGTGTTATCTTGGGAGAATTGTACTAGTACCCATTATGTACCAGCTTTGTTTTTTTCGAAACGGACTTATGTACCAGCTTTGGATCACAGTAGACCTGCCGATTGCTGGCCTGTTCTACCCAGACTTGGTTATGATATGTGATCAAGCTGAAGTATTGCGTGTTGTGCTGGAAAGCTCCACTAAACTTTAAAAAAATGATTTATGGTTGTTTTTTTAGTAAGAAGAATACAAGTTTGTCTGACTGTTCTTTTTCCCAGCATCGATGTAATTAGCCATACCAAAGTTTATAGCATGTAACATGTTATGGTTGTACAATATGAATGCACTTCTTGTGCAAGTTTCATGCACTGACTAATTTTATGTGCGTCGAACACATGAACAAGTTTTTGCACTCATTTTATGGTGCATGGAACACAATCGGCGCACTATTACTTCAGGAGCACAAATGTTCAACCACCACCTTTTTTTAGAATCATCAGGGGATCTGAATTTCCGGTATCATATAATTAGTTTTTATATTTTTTGAGCTAATTAGCAACTCTTTTTTCCTTTTCATTGTTTAGCTTTTTTGTTTACCAAACAATTCTGGGCAGCACACATGTTTTTATTTCATTCTCATTTTCTTATTTCAAGTTATTGTATATAATAAACAGTTAAGTCATTTATTTTCATCGCTTTTTTTGGCCTAAGCAGGTGTAGTGTCTATGTTACTATGTATGGGACGAGTTCCGCTCTTCAGCGGTAATCCAGCAACACTTGCTTGCATGAACTTTTTCTAAGAATTTTTTTTGTAAAACAGCTTTTATCAGATCCATGTATTAATGTTCTTCCCTTTTTTGTTCAAAGTAGTTTGCCCCAAGTTGCAAGTTGACCCCAGACTCACAACTCAAGGC